ATTATTTTGCAATAATAGGAGAAATTTTTCACTCTGAAACACAGCTTCTACGTGAGGAGTGCAAGGACAAATTGTAAATGTGTACTCTGAACAAGGCTCAAGTTCCGTTTTGTGGTGCTCTTGCTCTCTTAATAGATTTTGTATGTTCTTCTGAACAGGAAATGCTTTATAGCAAAACTTGCCTACAGGCATTGTACTATACCAATTAAAGGATTTCTGAATTTGAGAACAAAGAAGTACCAGTAGAGCAACTGCTACTTTTTTTTACCAACTCAATTTATTTTCTTCCTTCCTCCTATGCAGAATTTGGGTTTATCATTTCAGTGTCTGCAGTGTTATGTGTCTGTATATCTCTGTGTGTTTGTAGCTTATATGTTATTACGCGATTGGGTAAGCAAGTGAAGAGTAGTACCGAAGGAATCATTAAAAAAAAGATATTAGAGTTTGCAATGTTTAAACTTTTTTTTATCCTTGTTTAATGTTTACAATGCACATATCTGCAATCAAGCTAAGGACATGGCACCTTCAAGTCAAGGAACTTTATATACTCTTTTGGAACACCCTTTTGAACTTCTGTGAGGTTTCTGTGAATTTTATAATTTTTGGGAAAGTCTGTGAATTTCCATAGTATCAAAAAGCAAGACAAGAAACAATGGATCAATCAAGGAAAGAAGCAACCTAGAACTAAGAAGAAATTTCTTAACAGAGAACAATTAATCAATGGAACAGCTTGCCTTCAAAAACTGTGGGTGCTCTGTCACTGGAGGTTTTAAGGAGAGACTGAACAGCCAATTGTCAGGAATAGTACAGAGACTCTTGCTTGAGCAGGAGGTTGGACTAGAATACCTCCTAGAACCCTTCCAACTTTGTTATTCTATTATTTTGTTATGAAAGATCTGAAACTGCACTAATCTGTTGGCAACAGTGAAGCCAACAATGAGCTATAAAAGTACTAGAGGCAAAGCATTATTGTGCATCAAAACCTTACAATCTAACAGTATTATTGTAGACAGAACAATAAATGTTATTTATCTGACTCTCTCTAAAAATGTAATAATTTAACTTGCCAAACACTATTGGAGGAAAGGCAATAAAATAAAATAAAATAATAAATTAAAATTGAAATTGAAATAATTGAAATTAAAATTAAAATTAAAAAATAAAATAAAATACAACCAATGATATAGGCAATAAGGCTGCTGCCAAACATGATCCCATCATCGTGGTGCCCTGATTGAGAACTCTTTGTTCAAGGTAAACCATCTATAATAGTCTGTGGGAAAATATAGAGGAGTAAAGTTACCCAACAACAGCCTGTTAAATCACATGGGAAGAAGCCACTTCTCTGTTATTTTGGCTTGATGGATCATCTTGGACAATATTGATTCAATGAAACTTGCATGAACATCATAATGCAGATGCCAGTCTATCTTTGAATATTCACCTGTTTGAGAGACAAATGTACTTCGTACCTCTGTTAACATAAATTGGTTGGGAAGGATCTGTCCCATATATTTTTTGTTTCCTTTCTAAAATAGTCCAGGGGTGCTTTTGAACCATTTCACAATAATTACAGGATTGATTTTGAAGAGACTGAAACTCAAAGATGTAATATCTCTTTTGCAAGTGGAGGAGGTCTCCAGTGTAAAAGTCTGCCCAGAAAAATGTCTCAGACTTGGGAGGCCTGCTATCAATCACAGTGCTGAGTCAGAGACACCATATAAATTTCCTGCTTGATTTTCATTGCCAGATTTTGCATGGCAGTGGTAAACTTTCAATGAAGATCAAATGGCTATAAGAGTTTTATGTTGCTTTGTAGGGTAGAGAATTAATTTTTGTTTCAAAAAGTATCTTGTATGTGATTTAAAACTCTTCCAGAAAAAAGTTCAATAAATTGTGCAAAGAAATCAGCCATAAGAATCCATGCATATGTTTCATAATCCACCAGTTATTCATTTAATAAAGGGGGGGGATGCTGTTTTTCTCTTGGCATCTGCCATTCCGGCATGCTGAATATCTATGTAGAGAGACAAATTTGCAAGGGAAATTCTGGTAGAGTTGCTATGGGACAAATCTAATTTATGACCATTTTACTGAGTGAGAAAACTACAGAAATTCTATTTTATCAAGAATACACTCTGAGCAGCATTGCCCATTCAGGCACCTTCTAGTTTCATAACCAGGATAATTAAAAGATACCCAACTCATAGAAGTCAACTCTATAGAGTTAAAGATAGAAATTGCTGCCACACAATAATGGGAAATTATGAAGGACTGGGAAACAGTTAAAACACAGAAGAGAAGTTATCAATGGCAAAAAAAACATCTGATCAAGAAAGAAAAAAGGAAGGAAGGAAGGAAGGAAGGAAGGAAGGAAGGAAGGAAGGAAGGAAGGAAGGAAGGAAGGAAGGAAGGAAGGAAGGAAAGAAGGGAGGGAGGGAGGGAGGGAGAAAAAAGAAATAGTGTTGGGAAACCTCCAGTGAATTGCAAATAGGATCTGTAATTAAGTGCATTAGTACATTGCTTTGAAAGAAGCAGAAGATCTATGCAATAAAAACTAAAAGAAATAGGTGTGAATAGCTTGCATGGCCATAAGGAGATACTTTTTTTTAATTTTAAGAATACTGGGAAGATTAAATAGAGTTAGCGTGAAATGATTTCCTTCCCGTAGGAAAACAAACAAACACATCTAACTAAACATTCTTAGAAGAGCTATCAGATAGAGTATGAAAAGCAGATACTTGTGGGAGCTCATCTTTCCAGTAAAGTTAAAATTGTTGCTGGAAACAAACAATACATTTTGTTCTAATCTCTCTCTATATTCTGTATTTTCTGCTTTCCTCTCTCCCAAGGAAGATTCAATCTTTATCCTTTTCCCTCCCTCCCTCCCTCCCTCCCCCCCTCCCCACTCTCTCTCTCTCTCTCTCTCTCTCTCTCTCACACACACACAAACACACACGGGGGGGAGGGGGAGAGAACTGAATTACTACACATTTTTTTTAACTCGGGAGCTTTAGGAACCTATCTATCTGTAAGCATCCATAATAACCACAAAGGGGAACCAATCCCAAATTTATTAGGAAGTAACTCTTCCTCTCAGTGTTCAAAGGTCAGCAAATTACTTCATCCAAACTCTAATCCATAAAAACTTTCTTTAAGAGAATGAGTAACAAGAGAATGTTCATGTCTCAAAGAGAAAATCGTTTTAAACCTGAGGTGCTAAATAATAACCTTCATTCAGTTCTGCTTGAGTTAGAATTTATTTAGTACTGAAGTGAAATACTGACCAAGAATAGGAGCCATAATAAACTTTATGAATTTGTCACAAAAACTCAAAATCATCTTCTCCAAAGCTCATTTATTCATATGGATAAGGTAAAAAACTCTACTTTTTTAAAAAAAATAAATAAATGTCTATTTGCTTACAAACACTCCATAATTAGTATTATAACCTTGTAAGTTATATGAATTGCAATACAATTTTCCTATTTTTCTCCTAAATGAAAATATCTGAATTCCAGGCAAACATACAATACTTTCAACAGATTTTATATAACTCTACAAATATTTAGAAAAATAGAAGCCAACTGCATCCTTATTAAAATATTTAGTGAAATACTTTTAAATTTGGGAGGTGTAGCACAGGACACCATGAACGCAATAATACCTCTATGAATAGATATGTTAGGTTTATTTTGAGCTGAAACCCTTCCAGATTCTCCATCTCCAAGATAGACAATTTCAAGCCATTCCAGTGGTAAAATCACATTGCCACCTACACATCCAACAATCTCAATAACCTTCAAGGACAATTAAAAACAAGAAACAGTAAAAGTATTGCTCTTGGCAACAAAAAGTTATTTTGTCATTCAGCATGTTTCAAAACAATTTTATAAAAACAGAATCCATACTTATGGTCTATTGTTTTTAAAAGCCTGAACATTAGTATCACTATTTTATCGTTCCAATTTATTCATTTGTTTGGGCAATCAAGTCAACTGTTATCACAATCAAAGACCAACATAAGGAGAAGGGGGTACAAAAAAACCCTCCCCAAAATTAAATTATATAAAAAGCTAAAAATATAAAATATATAGTTAAAACACCCAAAAGGAGGGGTAAAAACAATAGACATAGAAAACATGACAATATATCTAATACAAATACTATAATAAATCAAATACAAAATACTTTAAGATAATGGTTTGGGTGGTATTAAGATTAATTTGTGGCACAGGTTATATGTATTTTAAATGTGCTTGGACAATTGCATAAATGCTAATGCAGCTAAACAGTAAAGCTGTGCTTTCCGTTAAAAACAGATAAAAATACTTTGTATTATTATTAAGTCAAGGAATTTGATCCAAAGGCAAACATGTTTAGAGAATTTTAAAAAGAGCAAACTTTTAAAATAGTTTTAAATCAAACTCCCAGCTTTCAAAATACAAAGTAAGATTTTGTCCTGAAATAAATTATGTGATAAAGGAGAATCTTGGAGGTTTTAATTTATTAATCTTTGCCTGAATGTTCCCTTGCTCCTCATCTCAACAGACACATCTTTGGTAACCAGAAGACACTATAACAAAAAACATTAGCAATATCTCCAAACCAGAATGCCTGGTTTGAGATACTCTAAATGAGAATCAGAATTTGAAATCAAGGTGTGAAATTATGTATGATTCTTGCCTTGTTTGGTGCAGCTAAATTCCATCATAATATTATACTTTTTCATATTAATTATTTTAAAAGGCATTGAAGTTCTTTTTTTTTTTTTACTAGCAGAAGAAACCAATTTGGAGAATTAGGGAATGTGGACCAGCAGAGCTGCATATATGAATAATATGCCAAGATACTCTAGAACTCTAGGTTATCATTTTGTGCAAATGCAGCGACTTGTATTCTCCGAACTACAGATTTGTACCCTAAGAAAGAGGAAGCCAAACTGTCTTTCAAAGGCCAATCTGGGGAGAAAATAACATTTTAAAGCAGATATTGCTTACCATCATCCAAATAAGCTTGGTCAAGATTCTGTTCCTGTTTTACAGTGACTTCAGCTGATACCACTTCCTTCTGATCATTTACTGGTGGTCCATTTTTGGCCGTTCTCTGCTGCTGAATCACAGTAGGATAAGAATTTGGGCTTAACCTTTGTGCTTGGTTGACTTGAGGCTGATGGGGCCTCACTCCACTGTGTGTGAAATTTTCACTACACATTATATGCTGAAACTCTTGATGGCTTTCACATCTCATTTGATGATTGGTTGTGGGAGAGCAATGAATCACTGGAGAAGATGGCTGATTGACTGGAGAATGATGAAGCATTGCTGAACTTTGGCTGGGGGATCCTGTGTGCACAAGCACTGACCTATGAATATCTGGGATGGAAACCTGGGCCCCTATCAAGTTGGACTGCTGGTAGCCCAGGTGGCTTGGACTGAGACTCTTGCTTCTTTGATATATTATAGCTCCTGGGTTTTGTGAAGGATACTGGGATTCAGGAGAAGAGAGATTTGAATGCAACTGCTGGCAAGAAGCCATTGTAGCCACAAGACAGGAAGGAGACTCTGAGACCATTGTATGATGTGAATAATAAGGCTGTGTTACTGTTCTCAGACCACTGTGTACTGTATTGCAGATTAAACTTGGATCATAGTCATCAATGGGCTCTGTTTTGATGGAAGGCACTGGAACAAAATACATAAAGGATATCAGTTTTAAAAGAACTGCTAATAGACAGTCAAAGAGATGAATGACTCTGACACTGTAATTCCCCACTACCAGTTTTCAGCTTGTTCAGTTTTCAGATATTACTCACATATCTAGTGGTTAGTGTACATCCACAATTTGAACTTCCATATCACCTTCTATTGCCTTGTCCTCAAATACTTTTTGATGGACTCAGTTTATGTGTTCAGCTATAAGGGGTAATTGGCTAATATTCATAGGCATATAGATCACCCTCATTATGCACATGACTACCTGCTGAACATGGGTACTTAATTCCACCAAGCCAAGCAACATAACATATTGCTTATATCCCAAAGGTGCTTTTCACAAGAAAACTGGACTTTCTTGTTTTTCTTTAAAGACATTTTACTTCCCATCCAAATCCTTCCATTCTCCACCATCCATCCAGTCAAAGCTGAAGAAACATCTTGGATGAAAAGCGAAACATCTTCAGAGAAAAACAAGAAAGTCCAGTTGCCTCATGAAAAAGTACCTTTGGGATAACTATGATCTGGATGACTAAGATTCTCCATAGACATATTGCTTATATTGTTCTATCTAGTAAAGTCAGCATCAAGTGATGCAATATGTCAACATTATGGAATTGAATGATCTCTCTGTGTATGTGAGCAACTAACCAATGACTACCAGAAAAATTACCAATGTATCAGTAATATCTATGCTAGGCCAATTAAGTCACGGGTTTTTTTTCCCAGCATCTGAAGGCTGTGGCTATCTGGATGGGGAAGAAGTAGTTTCTTGGGCTCAACTCAAGAAAATCTAGCACCTGTGGTTTTTAGGGACTCTTGTTATGGAGATAGAATTTTTTTAAATTCTGGATGGGTTGGCATCCTCAAATATAGTAGGTGTGCATCTGGAACTTGTGGCTCCTACTTGAAGGACAGCTGGTAGCTCTGGCCAAGAAGATCATGTTCACTTGTTATTGTGTTTTGTGTTTTTAATTCTGTTAACTGCCCAGAGTGGCAATCTGCTAATCTGGTGGCCATAGAAATGGCATGCACAAATAAGGAGGTGGGATGCTCTATAAAGCTGCTTTGAGGGAAAGTAAGATAGAAAACTAACGATCAACTAGAGGGAAATGATTGCACCAATTGCTCCTCAAAATGGAATCTTACACACAATCCTCAAGACAGTGTTTCTGAATACAAATCCCAAGTTTTTCTCTTAGTATCCAACTTAACCTAATCTAAAAGGATTCCACCTAGTTTTGAAGGTAAAGTCCTTTTTGAGTTGAACACAACTCCTGATGCTTCATAGCCACATCTATTCAATTTTCAGAATGGAAGTGATTCGCTCCTATCCTGTCATCTTTCAAGAAAATTTCAATTTTTCTGCTCTACAACATGGCATTCCCTGTGATTTCTCATCCAAGTGCTATATTGCCCTTGGGTATATTGCACTGCTATTTGGTTGCCATAGCCAACAGCTCTGTGTTCCCACAAAATGTTTGTGCTACAAGTCCCTCTTCATAAAAAAAAAAAATACCTGGATGGTAGGTAAAATGCTGTGGTTGACTTTTTTTCCGTTTCCCATTGATAACATAGAAATTCACCTTGACAGGGGCACGAATGTGCTTGTTACGATATTCTGGAATCTCTACAAACAGCATGTTCTGAAAACAACAACAATAATAAATAACTGTGGGGACAATACAGTATAATAATGCCAATAATTCAATATTAATAGACATACCAATCTAATCTGCAAAAATACAGATGATCAACAGATGGCAGGAAACGAGTTTTCTGCATCTGTTTTCTGCTATTTAGTGGTTGTCTAGATTTTGCAGCTCAAATATGGTAAGCCTAATTTCTGCAATCAGCAAGAGATCACTGGGATATAATCTTGTAAATACAGATAGTCTTTGATTTATGACTATAACTGGGACCAGCTGTTAAGCAAATCTGGCTTCTTCTATTGTCTTTGGTTGTCACAAGCCCCTGGAAAGATTGCAAATGGTGATCATGTGACCCATGGTCATTGCAATCATAATAAAAACATGTAAGTTTCCATGCCCCTAAATTTGGATCACATGACCACTGTGACAGTCATAAGTGCAAGGACCAATCATAAGTCACTTTTTTCAGCATTGTCATAACTTTGAATAGTCATTAAATGAATAGTTGTATGTATGTTACCTGTATAAGCAACCCTCCTTAAACAGTTGAGCTAAATATACAGTATCTGAAGTTTCAAGTTAGAAAAATTAGTTTTAATATTGTTTAAAATATTAGTTTTAATATTTCTCTTATTTATGAGAATCCTATCCACAAGACACGAGAACAAGAACGGAATCTTGTTCACTTTGGCCGATGTTAAGGAGAACATGATTTTTCTATTACTATTCTTTTCCACACAAAGCGAAGATTGTATTTCTGTGGCTAACAATAGAGTGAACTTACAGATTGGCTCTTGTCTTTGTCCACTGTGGCCTCCATCTCCCAAACCTGCTGCCCATCTGAAAAAAAATTAAGTCATGCATGAAACTGTACCAGAATGTATGGAAGACAGATGTAGATAAAGTCATTATGAATGCACCCCTTTTTATATTATAGTGTGTTCAAAGTATTTTTTTACACATACTGCACAACCCTTCTTAAAGATATATAGTGATTATTATTATTATGGTTCACAGTCAGCTAGATATTCTGAATGGATTTGGCATTTTAATCCACTTACTGAGTCCAACCAAAGGACCTGGGATAGGCATATATTGATGTTTGATGGTGTTAGAAGTATTGTTACAGGATCCAAGCTATTCTGAATAAAGCTGCCTTTTGCAATTGATTGATGGTGATTTGTCAATGCCGATGGTGTTCAAGTGGTGCTCCAGTTTATTATTGTATGTTGCACATGGAAATATAAAGTTGAACAAATTGCTTTTTTTCCTAGGACCAGCTCATGAATTTATTGTAGAGATGTCCATAATCTGATTCCAGTTGGTCATGCAAAAAGCAACTCTTTGAATTTCTAAACTAACATACCACATTAAAATTCACTAATGTAGAACTTAAATTCAGCTGCAAAACTGAGTGTATGTCCCAGGGATGTCTATACATGCAGATGATTAATTTCTCACTCTAAGCAATTCTATTATATTATCTAGGTTTAATAAAACTAGAAGCCTTTCAATGTTTGTTATTTCTGCACAGTATTGAAAATGTTTCCAGGCGGAGATGCTTCTACTATCTAAAGACAAACAGTTGTTGGCCACACAATCTTTCCCAGTGTGAGACCCATGCCATATCTCAATCTGTCGTAGTTGGCACAGAGGAGGGGGGAAAAATGATAAGCATCCTGCCCCAAGCAGCCATTAACAAAGTTAAAACTTGTTATGATGTTCCCACAAACGTTAGCTTCTTCCTTAAACTAAAACTTTCCTAGTTCCTCCAAACTTTCCTTGCAACTCAGAAGACCTTATATGAGTTCCTTTCCTTCCTCTCTACTTTGTCAGCATATTACAGGCATTGTAAAAATTACACAAATCTTTCACTAGAACATGAAACACACCTTCACATCCTTGATGCTGAATAGGAGTTGGGGGGGATTGCTTATTCCATAATTAGTTCTACCAACACTGCTAACAAAATTTGATGTTTTTAATTTCATAATCACATTTCTGTTACGGCATTAATTCTATGGTTTTTCTTGATGATGGCTATAATTTAGTTATTTCTTTCAAATGTTTTGCATATCAAATAGAAAAAAACACTACTATGGTCCGGTGACTACAAAGTAATTTGAACAAAGGCAAAATAATCAAACAACCTATGTTGATAATGTTAAGTATTATTCTCAACCACCAACCAAAAGGGAATTATCATTACTACATACTGAGGTATGAGTGATAATATTCTATAGACAATAATTTAAATTAAAGCAAAGCAATAAGATGCAGGAACTCAAACAGCAAAAATTATTTGAATACTTTAAAAATTAGCAAGCCTCTCTCTATTTTTTTTTGCTGTGAACAATGAAGACCACAAAGCATTTATGGCATTTGACAAGGATATATAGAAAAAAGATATCTACCATAATATTAAGCTAAATAACTTAGCAAAGACCAAGATTCTGCTTTAACGTAAACTAGCAATCTTACTGAAGAGGTGGATGTTTTCTAGCAATATTCTAAAACTAAATCAGTGACTTTATTTAAAAATGCTTTACTCTAAAATTCAGTTTTTCTCACAAAGTCATACTGATACTATCAAAATATATTTATTTACATTTACATAATTTATTCACAGAACTTATTCCTGATTAAACATGCATAGGATGCTAGAATGCTAAATGCACCATTTGAAGTGCCATTTTCTTTTTTTTTTTAAATAAAATTATTAGAAGTTAAACATTATAAAATAGTTATGCTGAGCAGAAAGTTGTAGTATCCATTCAAAATAACCTTTCCCCATGTACCTGTTAGTCCTGTTTATGGCTTCCACTCCAGAACTAATAACTGCAATTATGGAAAAGGTTCATAAGGGTAATATTGGAAGAAAATATGTTTTAAATAGAAAATCTTTTTATGTAACTCAGGGTTGAACTATGGAGTCCTTGGTGCTCTCTGAACTTGGGTTATTTGCTTGCAGATGTCTCATTATACAACTAGATCACATCATCAGTGCTATGGGGACAAGAGACAACGCAAAAGCTAAGAAGGAAACAAAAAGACCAGAACACATCCTCACCAGCAGACTACATTTAGATAAGCAGGAATTAACACGAGACAAACAATCAAGCAGAAAGCAATACTCCAGTCAAGGAACTACCAAGAAAACTATACCCCCACCAACAGTGGCAGGTCAAGCTAATGTATATAAACAGGGAGAAAACCCACACTCACTAGCACTGATGTTACCTAGTGAGGTAATGAAACATCTGCAAGCAAACAAGCAAACTCAGAGAGCACCAAAGACTCTGCAAAAGAAGATTTAATTATGCACAATATAATTTCCCCACCATCCAACTTTTTAGCATTATGTTTAGTTTGCTTTTTAATGCTGGTGACAGGTGCAACCCACTAAGCAACTTCTCAATCAATTGCATGCATATCAGTGTGCAAACTACTCCCATACTGAAAACTGCTGAATATTCAAATAATGTGAAATAAATAATGGTATGTTGAAAAACAATGCACCAAACCTATCTGGTTAAAGAAGAACCTCAACCTCTGAGAAGGAATCTGACCAGAATGGATTTGTAAATACATAGAATTAGTATTTGTTCATTTGCAATTCTAAACTATAATCAGGCCTCCTTCTCCAAAAAAGCACCTTTTTATTCCCAGGAGAGAAACTTGCTTCAGTCTGGGCCATTCCAGAAAGAAGTAAACTTGTCCCTGGATTGTATCACCTCAGATCACAGATGAGAGCTGATATTATCTTAAAAGAAAATACTCCCCATCTATAAGAACAACCTGGGTATCAATGAGGACTCCGAGTGTATGGAAATATTCTGTTGTCAAAGAGCATTCAGGCCTATGTTAAAAATTCTCCATTTGCTACCTGAAAAGATGAACTGCTTCAAAGAATAGATAAAACAATTTCCCTGAAGATGTGGGAGCAAGAAACAAGAAGGAAGAAGGGAAGCAGTAGAAGAACGGAAGCGGTAGACATACTTCACACTTGGGGCCAAGATTATGCTGAGCAAGATTTATGTTGGGACTGACTATTAATGGATACTTCTGTTCTTTTCATGCCTTGTGTAGGTACAATTTTTCCATTCCCTGTAGCTTCAATACGAGGGACAGTAAGCTGCATCTAATGTAGGTCTTGAAGATATTAAAGACATCTGGACTCTTCTTTTAGTTCAGCCAGCTCTAGATATTTTTTTTAGATGGTGGTAAGGAAGGAGTTTGTTTGATATGCCTGTACAACTATTAAGTGAAAATAACAAAAAAGTAAAAAAAAAATGACAATATTGTTAGAAGCTGGGAATAAAAGCATAATCTGTAGGATGAGAGAAGAGAAAGGGAAAGAAGTTATGAGTCAGATTTACTGTGTCAGAGGATTTCTGGGACTACACCAAGGTGCCTGCATTTTACATTCTAGCCTTTACTCAAGGGGAGTTCACACAGGCATAAAGTCCTTCATTGTTCTTGAAGTCAGCTCACACACAAGGGTTCCAGTTTTTCACAGAGTGTGCTGAAACATCATTACCAAACCACCCTCACGAAGAACAGCAGCTACAGAACTCAAGTCAGCCTTCAATGCAGGTTAACTGCAGTGTTGTAGCACACAATCAGCCAACTCAAATGATCCAAATTGAACATATTAGACTAATCACAATTGGAAAGTTATTTAAGCCTAAGACTAAACTTTGCAGTAAGCCAACAAGCAGCATAATTCTATGCTGAAGGCAACTATATCCCAGTTTGCAACTCCTGAAGTCAGTTCTGCAAAGTTAGCAAGTTTATACAATTTATTATCCTTCCTGTGAAAAAGGGCAGAGAGTTATACAAGATGTCAGAAGCCACTCTCACCAAACTTGTTGCAATAGTTTTCAGCCAACCTTCTCTTAATTACTGTAGGGATTGAACTGGGGCACTATGGATCAAATGTTGTTTGTCTCAATGAGTAAGCCTGCTGGTTGGAAAATAGCTGCTACCACTGTCAAAGATTTATTTATCTCCTGATGATTTGCAAATCTACAGTATATGTAATATTTTAAATATCTTAGAGAGCTTCTCTGGACAGAAGTTTGCCACCCTGAGAAACATTACTTTCTACTTATGAAGGAAGAAAAACAGTCTGGAGTAAGTATACCCATCCTCATTCTGTCTCTTCAAATGTAGTATTCATTCATTCATTCATTCATTCATTCATTCATTCATTCATTCATTCATTCATATATTTGTAAAGTCACACATTTATTTAGGTTAGCAGAGAGCTTGTACAGTTTATTATTCACTGACATGTCCAAAATTCTTTATTGAATTTGATGCTACTTATCTCCATTTGTTCCATCAACCTAGCCACAATTAAGAAAACCATTTTGTTTTCTCTTCTAACCTCCTAAGTGTGAATGAAATTCTTGAAGACCTGAGAACTGGAAACACTTTAACAGTTGAGCAGCCCACAGCAGGTGGCAGCATCTATCTAACCTTGACTGATTTCAATAAAATTAAATAGGATTTGACCTAGTGGTACTTGAATGAGATCCTACCTGAAAAACTCAAGATTTTAGGCTGGATTGAGTCATAAACTCATCCCAAAATAAAGCAATGGCAAACAATTTCTATAATTCATAAGAAAAAAACACAGATATATCCATATGGTTGCCAGGAGTTCATAGAGGTTAATTTTTAAAATCCAAACATATTTAGTTTCTTCTCACTGAATTGAACAGTTTTTGTGGGACATGTGATTTTTACTATTCTATGCCAGGAATTTCATAGATTAAAAGCAGGCTAGAAATATGGAGAAGAAACAGAATGTTCTTATCTGAAGAGGTTCACAA